TTCTCTTTTTAGTTATTTTTTCGTTGTCTTGTTCTTATAATCAAATAATAATTCAAGGCATGTTTGCTCTTATTTTCTTAGCTGAATATGTATTGTTTGAAAACCTTTATAATGTTTTCTAATTATGCATGGTTTTACAAACAATTATGTAACCTTATGGGATTAAAATTATATTTGAGACAATTTCAAATGCTTGACATTAAATTCAAGATAATTGAACGTTTTTTTAACAAATCAAAATATAATGTAACTTAAGGCTAACATTATCAATACCTTCGAAATACTTGAAAGCCCAAAATGAAAGTATCAAAACCTAGGCCCTTACTATTGATATAGACTTGAAAACTTGAAAATAGCTTATGTTTTGATTTGACAAAATTGCATTTTATTTAAGTTTGATCACAAGCACTTGAAATGTTTTGACTTGTTATTTTAATCTTCTAAGGTCTTAGAAAATGTTTGATAAGTCCCTCATACTTAGAAATGATCAAGAAGTTTTCTAAAACCTTGAGTTTTTGGTTAAAGGAAATCAAGAGCAAACATTTTTCTAATTAAGGGTCAACTACAACCTTTTCATACTGGACCCTATATGAAGAAATGAAGAAAAAGTGAAGTGAAGTAAAGGCTTGGGTTTTGAGTCAACTACAACATCACCAAACTCAACCCTAAGGTAGAAACTTGAGAAAAAAATGAAAGAAAGCTTAGAGAGTCAACTTTAGTCAAGGAATACTTGACCGCAAAGTAAAGAAAGAAAAAATGAAGGTTGCCTCGAGTTGAGGGTCGACTTCAACAGTAAAAGTTCGACCCTTGGAGCAAAGATTTGAAAATTTTCAAATCAAGGGTTGACTCCATCACTCTTATACTTGAACTTAGTGACACCACAGCCAAGAAATTAATGCTGTCAATGACTATTTTTAGTACCAAATTGTGTCTAATGGCTCTATTCTCTCAAAAGGGTTTAAAAAAGGTCTCCCATTCATTTTGAAGTAAGAAAAGACTCTAAAAATTGCTCCCACACTTGAGAAAGCTTTAAAATCATTTATTCCTTTCCAACACCTCATTCAAGTATTCCTTCAAAGCATTTAAAACACTTGTTGAGCTAATTTTCTTGATATTCATTGTACCCATTATTCTCAAGCTTAAACATTTAGCTCACCAGCCTTTGAAAGTCATTTATTGCTATTCAATCTTTGTATCCACTTTTGTAAAAGTTCTAACTTAGCCTTGAAAAGTTAATGAAGGTTGTGCTTGCTATTGTGAAAAAACATTCTGAGGGTTGCTCTTAAACCCCGTAAAATGAGATTGTAAGGGTTGTGATTAAACCTAGAAAAAGGCATTGCAAAGGTTTTGCTTGATCTTGTTAAAAAACATTTTCTATAGTGGATTTCAAACTCCTTGATGAGACAAGAGAGAAGACATGGGCACTTGAGAAAACTAAATCTCTATTAAAATACTTATTTCTTTACTTTTATTTTTGTTTTGCTTTTCATTGCTACAATCTTTTTTAAAAAATATTAACTTTTTGGTTTTCAACTCAAGTAGCAAAATTTGGTTAAAGGAAATTTGATTTTTCAAAAGCCCAATTCACCCCATCTTAATCTTAGTTAATTTAAGCTTACTACACTGATAACCTTAAGTGATCCATGGATAAAGCTCAAATTATCAAAATGGAGATTACGAGAACCGTACTTGTTGAAAGGCAATCTATCTAAAGACCTTATCTCTTTATAGATACAAACTACCTCTATTGGAAAAAGAGAACAAAAATGTTTATTCAATCATGGATTTAAAAGTGTGGAATGTGATTTTAGATGGTCCACATGTACCTTAAAAGGAAGTAGATGGTAAGATAGTGATTAAGACTAGAAGAAAGTGGGATGAAAAAGAAAAAAAATTGATGCAAATAAATTGTAAAGCCTACAATACTCTTCTATGTACCCTAGGTGCTAGTCAATTCAATAAGGTGTCTATGAGTGAAAATGCAAAACAAATTTAGGATACCTAAGAAACCATATATGAAGGAACCAACCAAGTTTAGGAATCCGAAATAGGATTACTTACAGTTGACTATGAGTTGTTTAGAATGAAAGAGGATGAGTCCATTTACCAAACATTTAAGAGATTCACCAATATTATTGGAAGATTGAAAGCCTTAAGGAAAGACTTTCCTAATGCTCAACTTGTTAAGAAATTACTTTATAGCCTACCCAAATCATGGAAACCAAAAGTAACGACTATAGAGGAAGCTAGAAACCTCAACAACATTAAGTTAGAAGAACTCGTAAGATCTTTACTAACCTATGAAATGACTTTAAAACATAATAGTGAGAAAGAGGAAGCCAAGAAGGAAGATACTAAGAAAAAGGAAATAACCCTTAAATCCTTAATTGAAGAGGAAGGAAGAAGCACAAAAAGTGAGAGTAAAGAGGATGGGGATATGGCTATTCTAGCTAAGAGATTTAGCAAGTTCGTGAAGAAATATTATAGAGATAGGAGACCTACAATGAGGGATGTGCCAAAGAGAGAGCACACCAAAGATAATTTGATATGTTATAATGGTAAGAAGTTGGGACACAACAAATATGAATGCTCAACCAAAAAGAACACTTCAAGAAACTTCAAGAAAAAGGCAATGATGAACACTTAGAGTGATAATGATGACTCCCAAGATAAGGGAGACGATGAGGTTACAAAACTTTGTCTCTTGGCATTTCATGACTATGAGGTATGTTCTACTTCTTATGATCTTGATTCACATACTCTTGATGAAAATGCATATTCATTTTATGAGTTACAAGATGCATATGATGACTTAGTTTTTGAATTTGAAAAAAAGACCATGAAATACAAAAACATCATATCAAAGCTTAAGGTAGAGAATGAGACCCTAGTTAAGACTAGGATTGAGCTAAAAAAACATTGTGAAAAGCATGCAAAATGAAATGAATGAACTGAAAAAGAAAGATGAGAACTCACGTGATGCCTTCTCAAAATTTCAAAAGAGCCTATAAATGGGTTCGAGCTATCGTGGCCTATGAGGGGGGCGAAAACACCATTATTTTTTTTTACTTATAAGTGGGGTCGAGAAGACCATTATTTTGGCCTATAAGTGCAGATGAAATACCATTATCTTTTTGCCTATAAGGGAGGCCAATAATGCCACTACCCTTTCTTTAATAATGGGGCGGTACAATCACTATCCTTATGTTAACAGCCTAGAATATGCCTATTATGATAATGCCAAAGTGGATGAAATGTAATATTGGTTAAATGTTGGATTACTAGTTGAAATGGACATGTGGAGTTGATTTTGTGGTTGATTTATGATTTATACTTATATTCAATTAGGAATCAAGTTATACTAAATGACAATAAAAATTGCACATGTTGGCGAACTCATTCTTATTGAAAATTCACCCAATTTCTTGGCTAGATGCAGGAAGTATTGATACTTCATGAACAAGTATCAATACCTAGTAGGTAGAATGCTTGAGAGGGGCATTTTATATGAAAAAATATCGATTCCTCTACCAAATGTATGGATACTTGACTTTCAATAACTCTTAGATGAAAAGTATTGATACCTCTCGAGAAGGTGTCGATATTTTCAGCAAAATTTACTTGTTTTTCATCTCTTAAAGGATTTTTCAAGTACTTTTACTCCCTTATTTCAACTCAAACTTTCAAATAACTTGGATTTCGATTAAAAATCATTCAATAGTGTGTGAAAACAACTTGATATCAAATTTTTTATTAAGATTGAGGTTTACTTGAAATGAAAGTTCACTGAAATGTGTTTATGTGAAAAACTCTTTCCTTTTGGCTTGGCCTCTTCCTATATCTGCTCATTGAGTTTTTATAGCTCATTCACATGTAAATTTTATATGTGTTTCAGATCAATAATCAGCTTGGTCAGCCTATCATGAAAAGGAGCTCCAAATCTTTTTTTGGTAAGTGTCTAAGGAAGCCTCTTGAAGGCCAAGGTGTTAAGTAACGTTAATCTGATGAGTTAGTCTTATTTACTTACGTTGATATGATATTGGGAACTTTTATGTTATGTAGCCACGGACTGATATTATACTTGACATGGATATTTTATGTGAACAAATGTGATGGCTTGTAAACCTATATGAGCACATAGATTGTGCATATGAATGTTGATATGCATGAATACATGAAATCACACGTGTAATTGTTATTAATGATCAAATGAAATTATATTTACACATTATGAGTTGAATTCCATAACTGTGTGATAGTACACATTGTTGAGTATATTACTGATTCTATGATAATGATGTGTATGTGATTGATTAGGAAAAAGCTTGCTTGGGTCAAACAGACTTTCCCTGCTTGGCCTTTGCACGATAATGGCCTGGGATCAAGTCATGGAAGAAAGTTGTTCAAAGCGTTAAAGAGTGAGTGGAGTTGAAGAGTTGTAGTATTAATCTTATTATTTCACATAGTCTTAATTTTATTCCTAGCGTTGTACTTTTGTATTATTAAAGTGAATTTTGAAGTTTTAAGAGTGAAAGATGCTTTTGAGAGCCATAGGGAAACATCTTGTGAGTGATGTCCCTGCGAGACTATTGATAAAAAGTGCACAAGATGTCTGAGTCAACTTGAGAATCATTGATGGAGAAATTATTAAATTTTAATTTTTCAATAGTAAAAAAAAATATTTAGTTCTTTTATTTTTTGAATTGTATCTATACCTATTTTGGAAAATTATCATATATAGAGGAGCTTTACAACTTGTAAACATTCGGGGGCGGCAGTATTAAAACTGTCCCCACTCTCGTGGTTCCATTGATGAAGGGTCAGAATTTGAAGACAAGTGACAAAGATGTTTGAGAATCATTCATCTAACAATTCGACTGGTCTATGAAACCAAATCATCTAAGCTAATAGAAACATATGGGCAACATCCTTGACAACAATTTTGCAAACAATAGGCGGGAAAAGATGGACATGTGATAACTCTTTATCAATACCATCTGTGCAGTTGGAAACTCTACCGTCTTCAAGTGGTCTCAATAAATAAGTTTGAATATTTATATTCCTAGTACAGAATCCTACTAAAATGACTTTTTGAATAACTCACCTATACACCTATCATTAAATCAAATACTCAATTACAAGTTGCAAAACCCAAATATCCATTATTCTAAAAAGTGTATATGCAAAACTTTCTGCATGTACCAAGCAGTGTTTAAGCGTCAGGAGCCAGTGGAGAGGGAGAGGGCTGTTTAGGGGGGAGGAGCTGTATCCACGACCACAACATAAAAAACAAACCATTCAGACTTGGTGAAGCACAATCATCATAGATTTTCAAACACGGTAATAAACCCAAAGTTCTTAAGCAAGAAAAAGAAAAGGGTAAGCATTTATATTTGTGCCCACGTCTTTACTTTGGATCTCATGTCTGTATCCCATGGCGCTTGAAGAATTCTCTAAATCCATAAGCACTGAGATCATAGTTGAACTGCATAACATAGAGGTGAGACAAAACAGATAACAACATCATGAAAGCACACAAAATAAATGGAGTTGAAACACAGAATTAAAAAAAAAAAAAAAAACAGAACGCTATGTAAGTGTAACTTTTTATACACAAGTAGATAAATTCATATTCACCAGCTTTTCTATGTATTCATGAGTATAAAATTCTATAAAACCAAGTGACTGACAAATGAAATGAACAATGATCAGGTATAAACTCATTTAATGTACAGAATGCCCAGAAACCTACCATATGAAAAGCATTCACATATAAACAGAGGAAAATCTAAAAAGCTAGCACTTGCAGAGGGAAACATATAGAAACAAAGCTAAAAAGATGAGAATGGTTGAAGGCATCTGATATGCTATTAAAATCATAACAAATTATAGGGAAAGAAGAAAGCTCCAAAACTCACCGGTAGAACTTTTACAGAATATCTTGTAATACTTTTATCAGCAACCCTCCCTTGGTCGGCTGCCTGCAATATAATTTCATATTAATTGCTAACACAGTAATCTGGCCACCTTACATGGCAACATTTTCAAAATCCATATCTCCAACAACGATATACAACATCCACAGCCAATCAGGCACAAATTAATAGATTGACAAGATTATTACTAAAAGTAGAATCCAACAGGAACTACAATAGAAATTAAAGAATAAAATAAATATTGTGCCAATAAGATTCATATCAATGCAACTTAATGTCAGATAAACTTATGGGAAAACTATGTATAATAAAGTAGTTAAACTGCGTAAACGCTCAGAACTCTCCCCCAAGGTGAGCTTTGGCTCAAAGTATCTAGAGCTCACAAGTTCAAGCTGAGAAAACAGCCACTCTATAAAGCAGTAGTACAGTTGCATGCGTTTACCCTCCCCAGACTCCAAAATACAAGAGCCTCATGCATGACTACCCTTTTTCTTTATCGGAACTCTCCCTCAAGGTTGAACAGCTGAAAATGACAACTTCATGGTTACTATAACTGTTTTACATTGGCCAGAAAAAATAACTGTTCCAAATAAGAATAATCTTTTGCTTAGATTTTGTCAATATCCCCAGTTCTGCAGCTTAAGCAAACTCCACCTTTTTTAAAACAAAAAGGAAAATCACATCTGTTTAAAAGCCTCAAAATGGAAATAACAGAATTGAAACTTCACATTTGTTTTAATTTGGAAGTTAGAAGAAAGAAGAAACGACCAAAGAAAAGTCACTGAAATTTTCTTAGCAGTATAATTTCACTCAGCCACACAACACATCTCCTGCTGCACCACAAACCAAAGGCAAAACCACATCCAATGCCTCTAATTACCATCACACGCAAAACACTGTTACCATTGGCATCAGTTTCAACTACACCCATTTATCTAGCCATACAATTATAAGGACTGTTTCTTCATGCAAATGGCAATCATTGTTGACCAGGAATTATTATCAGTATTGCAACTGTTAGATTTATGCATGTTTTAAAAAATTGTGCAAGCCCTAAACAACTCCCAATTAGTTGTCTTTTAACTTTGGCATGCTGTGACCAGTTAATGGCAAATTATTAAAAAATGGACCAAAACAAGCAAATAGCAGTAGAGGAGAAAGTAGAGATAAAGAGAAGTAACATACTTGTTCTGGGCTATGGAATATTTCAATGAATGGATATTCCTTTTTCTGCCTTGTTATGCAAAACCCTGGGTATTTAGGGCACTCAACCTGGAAAAGAATAACACAAGAAACTAGATTGTGAGGGTAAGGAAAGAATAAAGAAACTAAAGTATGGTGAGATAGCACAAATTCTGTCATTGAATTATAGAAACAACAACAACAACAGAGGGCTCTTGTTTGGTGGAGTGGTACTTGTAGTACATAGAAGCTCTTTGGCTTGTGCTACATAATGTGAAATAACCCTCGCATTTCATAAACCATAATCCTTTCCCAAGGTTTGAGTTCAAGGCTTCCAAATCGAAAATTGCTGTCAGCTTGTCCCCTAGCAGACAGACAAGAGTGTGTGCAGAACATCCATTTCATGCTGAAGATGCTAAAGATTAGAAGCATACTCTCATTTTAGCCGACAATCACATCGGACCATGCTTTAGTGAGACTGTAATTATGAAAAGAGTAATAACCCCTTTCTTTAAAACAGAAACGCATTCTCAGAAGAAAAACATTACGCGCATAAATTTAACATTTGGATAAAACTCAGCTGCAGCTTCCTCCAGCACTCGATCAAGATGCATTGTGTAGTTTCCCCTGCATTATAATAAAGACTATAAAATCAGATGTAATACAGAAAACTATACAAGAGGGAAAGAGAGGGATTTGAGTTTCAAGTAACCTGATAGTGAATGCAACAACGACTGGGCGACCTTGATGAAGAAGCTGGACAAATTCACGCTCAGATGTGAAATGAATAACCCGTGATGGCCCAAGATCCTTGGGATAACCAGTATAATACCTTGAATTGTCACAAATAGATAAGGTTAACAGAAATTCTCTATCAAACAACATTCTTATTAATACATAAAATGCTTAAACCTACTTAATCAAAACCAAAAACAAAGTTATTGAAAATAATGTAATTGCATTAGTATTCGTAACAGTAAGGATAAATGAATGATCTTACTTGCAAGTTGAACGCAGATGACCCATCATTCTATCAAAAAACGCTTGTTCCCCCATTTTGAAAAAGCAGTGTTAACAAACCAACTCTTCAACCATTTCAGAAGCTGTGACTTTTGCACGGTCTTGTTAAACGCAGAAGCTACACAGTGCAGTGAAAAAGCGTCAGAAAGCTAATCCGTTTCATATTTCAATTGAAATTAATTGAAATGCTTCAATCGAAAACATCATATGCAGAATCAATGAAAAAGGAAAACTAAACTACACTTAAACGGAACAGCTAGAGCATGAGTAACATGAACTAACCAGAAGGGATAGAAGAAAGCGAGACAAAGTGGGTCTGGCTGCGGAGACTGGAGAGAGGGAGGAAATGCTGGTGAGTCGGTTGGGTTTGGTTTGAGAGAGCAGAGCTGAGGAAGGCTTACTTGGGCTGGGTTTGATTCTTATCAATAAGCCGAACTTAGTTGGAACCCTTTTCTATAACTAGACCTGTGAAAATGGTCTTGGTCCATTGAAAGTTTAAACCTATATTAAAATCGAGTTTAAATGGGTCAACTCATTTGATTATGGGCTGAGGTGAGTGGGACGAGTCAACTTTATTGATTAAAAAAATAAATTAATAATTTTAATTAATTTAATAATTTTATATATTTAATTTTATAAAAATAATAATTTAATTATCAATAGTAATACTTATTTTATATATTTTAATATCTTTAATCTTTACTTGTCAAATTAATAATTTTAGTTTAAATTACAACTTATTATTTTTTTTATTATAATAAATATTAGATGATAAATTGATAATTTTTCAGACATTGAGATATTATTATTGTCTAAATAAAATTTAAATATTTTGAGAAGGATATAATTGAGTTTTGAAGTTTCTATTATTTGGTTGTACGCTTATGTTTATGGGATCGTAGTTTGTGTTAAAGATTTAAACTTTATTTATGTATTATATTTGGTTATTTATATTTTGTGTAATTTATTTGTTTGTAATATGTTTTTATTATTCAATTGATGGATTAAATTATAAAACAATTTTATTGATAAAAAATTTATTAGGTAAAATTATAAAAATAATTTTTTTTAAAAAAAATAGATTAACCCAACCTATGGATTAACAAGGGGTGAGTTAAGCTGAAATTTTAATGATCCGTATAAAAATGGATTGATCTAACCCAATCCATATTTTCTCAATTTACAAAGGTTTAGGTTAGATTGAGTCGGACCAACCTATATTGACACCTCTATCTATAACACATGAGAACGATGCCGTATCATGTATACCAAAGAGCATCTTCACGGGCCCCCATTCGTAATTAATAACCAAACTCTGTGGGCTATCTAAATTGGGTTTTGAAACCCGATTATGTAAGCTTGTTTGGTTTCTCCTTTTGCTTTCTTTTAGATTTTTTTTTAAATAATTTTTTATCAACCTAATGAAAAAAGAAGAATTTCTTTAATTTCAGATTTTTTTAATGCCATGTAGTTTTCAAATATTAGGGTTCTTTTAGGTTAGATTTTTTTAGTTAATGATTTAAAAAGCATAAATTTTAATATTAAATAAACAATTAAAATTTTCATAAATTAGGAATGGAGCCATTATTCATGTGTTCATGTAATAAAGCGTTTAAATAAATTTATAGAGGTCCTCCAATGATGAAATCTCAAAGATGCCACAAGTGATGGCTTTCTCCAAACTTTGAGATAAAAAAATCTTTCAAAATTATATCATAAGAGTTTGGAGATTTTGAAAAATATTCAATATCAAGACTTTTATTTATTTCAACTTAAAACAAAATAATAAAATAAAATAAAAAATGAATAAAATTAAATAATGGATGAAAGTTAAAAACGTTAAAAGATGATACATAACTAATTAGGTATCAATTTAACGGACTACGTAAATGCTAATATTTTTCTCATATGTAATTACTTTTTGATAACCTAATCTAAAAAAATAAATTAAGAATTGACTTTTTTTATATGAAATTATTGAATTTTAAAATTCACGCGTTATGACATTAAAAATTAATCTTATCTCTTGTTTACGAAAAATATTAAAAAAAAAATTTCAAAAATCTCAACAACAATTAACTTAAATCAGTATTATTTGGGTATCAAATCATGACAAGTGTGTTTCACTTTATGGTGTTTTGGTCATTTATTGTTACGCTTGGAGGAGGTGGTCAAAAGCATTTATTGACTGAATAATTGGGGGTGATGGGGAGGATTTTAATGAAGGAGCCAAACTTACTTGCATTTTCCCAGACTGGCACTCACCTTACCATTACAAGAATAAATAACTAGGGAAATTATAGGTCAAACATGATTGGGTTGATGCCCTGTTCAGTTGGGCAAATGACTGCGGCTCCTTGTCGGTTGTCAGTAGCCCCATTGCATGTATAGATTTATATATGAAACAGCTGCTGCCATATTTATTGTCTTTTACTCGGTCTCTCCCCTCCTTTATAAATAAAACTTTATGGTTTTTTCCTCGTATCCCCATTCCACTCCTTCAACAAAGCCTCTGTTACCTTCCCATCTTTTGTACAGAAACATTTTCTGCTCCTGGGAATTTCGGGCTGCTTCTCTCCTCTCTTCTCCTCTCCTCTCCTCTCCTCACTCTGCAAATGGTACGAACAATTACGTTTTGCTTCTGTCTTTTCTTAGGTGTATATCATGCACGTGCACACAACACACACACACACACACATATATATATATATATATATGATTAAAATCATGCATTTTCAACAACATCTTTATATCAGTAATTTGTAACAGAAGTGACTTTATTGTGTTTCTTTCTCGAAAGTAAAAACTCTTTTTGTCATCTGCTGTGGGATGATGATATATGATTCATTGATCCTGCTCAAAATCTCCCAGCCGGCTGTTTTCCGGCACTGGAAAGCAGGGTTTGGGATACCAAAAGGGCCCGTTTTTCTAGTCCTTCTCCACTTGAATCCATTGATATAAATTATATTATTATGTTGCTTTCACTGCAAACTTAGAAAAGCGTCAAATCATTAGTATTGGGAGTAGGAAACCGCTAGTCAACTAGGCGATTGGCATCTTTCTATATAGTGTTTTACTTAGTCTACAAGAGAGGCTTAAAAAGGGCATGGGCATAGGCATGGTTCCCCTTGCCCAGGCCAATAGCATGTGCAGAGAAATTAAAAAGATCAACAGATTAAAAATGGAGTGATGAAATGTTATGGTCTTGGCTTTGGTTTTTCCATCTGCTATTAGTTGTTTCATATATATGGCTTGATTGTGTTTTTTTGATGGGGAATCCATCTGCCTGCCTTTCCACCGATTCCACATGTCAACTCCTCGTTTAATTTATATTCCCAAAGTTGTTTCTTTTATATATACATATTTTTATTTTCCCAATTATCCTACATATTTGTTTCTTTTTGCATAGCCTTTTTCATATAGCTATAGGAAGGAAATGTCTGGATATTCGGCGTAAATTTGTGATGGCTTGCTTAGGATTTTATAGGCAGTGAATTTCTATATAATAGATATCATTGTCATACCAGGAGGCTTGAACTTTACATAACAATGCAAAATTGAAAACCTTCTTTATTTCTATTGTTTGCCCTTTGCTTCCTCATGAATTTATACAATTATTTGTACACACTCTTGCTTTACTTAACGAAAAGAGAAAAGCAAAAGTATTGCTTTCCATCGGTATATGTCTTTGTCTGTCCACACAAGTCTGATTTCATTTCCTTTATACATTTGCTTCAATTTACTTAGGAAGTAAGTAAATCAAACAATATACTGTTCAGACTTAATTTTAAGCAATGAAATAGTAAAATATTTATTATTTACAAATAAATAAATAAATATTAAGTAATGAAACAGTTGAATTGTTGGTCAAATGTATTAAATTTGCACTTTTCATTATACATTAGCTAAATATTATTTAATTAATATGATAAACGACATATTGCCCCACTTCATTTAAATTATTAGAAGTTTGGCATAAAACAGTTACGCTTTTAAAAGAATTTGTCGAGTGGTGCAAAGCTAAAGCTCTTGGGATCCAATTTTCAACCATTTATCAATATATTCCATGCTTGAATTAATGTTTTTTTATGAAGATAAGATTGAAATAGATTGCTAGTACTAATTAAATTCATAACTCCCACCAGTAATTTTTACTGTGGAATTAAATTTAATTTTATTAAGCAAAAAGTTCCTTTTAATTATACTTTGACCGTTTATTTTTTGCAATTAGTAGATTTTACTGTAAGCAAAAGGTAAAAGTAAAATTAGGTGAGTCATAATTAGGACTTGTGGAACTAAAATGCAGTAGTATTAATTGTTCTAAACTATGTATGCCCATTAAAATAGTACTATAATTTTTGTGACTGTTTTATCTTTGCTTTTTACCAATTTTTTACTTAGAATATTACAATAGCATTAAATAAAATTATCAACTGAGAAAAAATTAGATTCCATCTAAAGTTTTTACAAAGTAAAATAACACCATAATTGGCTAAAATTATACAACTATAATTAATGTGTATAAAGGTGACTAAATTCATAGATATAGAGGTAAAATTATGAAACAAATGCCTTTATATTCGTAGAATTTCACATTCCTGCCTAGGAAAAAGAACCAAAAAAGGTTAAAAATAAAACAAAAGGACAAGTCAACGTATAAGTTGTCACAAATCACATTTAGATTGTGGTGGGGAACTGTCTTTAATAAGAAAATGAATATAACAGAGTAACTGCTTTTTTGGTATTGAGGAAAAGAAATTAATGAATGCTGATGGTGCTGCTCTGGACAGGTAACGAGAAGCAAGGATGAGACCCAAGTGGTTCTTACAAGGCCATTATCTATAGATGGCGACTCGGAGGTCGATTATAGGGCTCCTAATCTCATCCAGAGGCTTTCAACTCTTTTCAAGAATGTACGCCCTGGCTCTGATCTCACTCACTTTAAGGCAAGTTTCATCTTCTTGTCCTTTCACCTAGAATTAATATGCCAAAGACCCATAAAGATTTGGGCACCACCTCATTAAATCAAAGTGTTTAACAGTTATCAAGAGGATGTTAATTCGATTTATAAAATCATTGGTGTTAGTCGTAATTAAGTAGTCATGTTTGAGTGCATGTGATTTATTATGATTTTATTCTATACGGGTTGTAATAATCTAAAGATAATCGTTTCATATTAAGTCTTACAGGCACATATGACTTATCATGATATTATTCGATATGATTTGTAATAGTTTAATTAAAAATAATTATCTCAGCAGCAAGTGATTTTATTGGAGCTTTATGTTTCCAATCCTTCTTAATTTTGACTTAGAACTTGAAGCATCTATTTCCTCTAAATAAAATAAAATTTTAAATTAAAACCCTTCAAATGTAATAAGTAGAGTCTTTTAAAATATATATATGAAAATGTGCCGGCATTCACAAGTTTATTAGTTGAGTCATTTGACTTGAAGTTTTTTTTTATAATAGAATAATAGGAAGGGCATAATTCAATTGGTTATTGAAGGAAACTTGCTATCTAAAATATAGAAAAACAGAGAGAGGCGTGTTTTCCGGTGTGTAGGTGGTAGGTAGGAGGTGGCGTATCATTAATACATTAAGTAGCCTTTTTGGCTTATTATGCGTACGAACGGAGAATGCTAAGTATAGTATCAAAATGTTTCATCACAAGAACAAATCTCTCTTTTTTTTTTCTTTTACTCAGAATTTTGCATCATTTACTTTCATGCCATTGTTTCTATCACTTATTTTTTTACATATTCGTTTTTTTATTTATATAATCATAATTATTAATATAATATATTATACAATTCATATTGTACAATACCAATTGAAAATAATATAAATCGATATATTGTATCAAATTTTACCAAGTATTGGAATGTATCACATGATACACGAAATGTGTCATATGATATGATACGATATACTCTTTCTAAGCTTTTATCTCAGTTAATTGAATCATGAAAAACTAACTTTTATAAGTTTCAATTGTTAAATATTTAGACTTTTAGATAAAAAAATATTTTAAAAACTTGGTTCCCATTTTGACTTCAACATGTTAAATGTTATTTAATTTTAATTAATAAATTGACATGAAAAATGTATATTTTATTTAAAAATATAGATTATTAGGCAACATGTTGAGAGTTTAAATTAAAAAATATTAATCTTTTAAATTAATGGCATATAATCCTTAATTCTATTAATAAATGTAACATTTTTAAATTGTTTCTTTATTTTGCATGTGCACATATTATTTGTAATTAATTTTAAATTTTTTTACCATATGTTAATATTCGATACAAGTTTTCGATATATGATATGTATCTCAATTTAATAATTATATATATATATCATTAACTACCATATGTAAAATGCTAACAAGTTTTAATTATTATTTATATGCAAAAAAATTAGTTAAGAGGGAAAAACAAGTCAGGAAAATTAAAAAATATATATATATATATATATATTACAAGAAGAGAAGGTGGACAAAAAAAAAAGGACAAATACATTTAGAAAAAAGAAATATACTTGCATATGTCCATTAATTTGTTCCTACTTAATTTAAGCTTAAATAACAAATAACTATAATGTAGTGTAGGTCATTGGTTCATAACAGAGTTGGTGTTGGCCACTGTCCTCTGAAATTTGTACGGAAATTAATTAATGACATTTTAGTAGTTTGTTAATGGTGGGTGTTATTGCAAAATTCAGCTGCCACCTCTCTTCAACTTTCCAAAGTCACATCTTCAATGTTATGGAGAAACAGTGTACTGCATCGGTAGTGACATGTTAAGCAGATGTAGCCTGGCTGACAACTCAGTCGACCGATTCACCTCGGTTGTGGCATGGAGCATTTCCACATTGCGTCCTCCAATATTTGGGGTTGCCCCTTACAACCCTATCCTCGGTGAGACTCATCATGTCTCTAGGGCAAATCTCAATGTCCTACTTGAACAGGTACACTCCTAATTGCTTCCAATTACAAGCTTCACTTTAAAATGAATTCAATGATCTATCTTTGGACAAACCTGACGGTAGGTCCAATTTCGTTACAGATTTCTCATCACCCGCCTGTTGCTGCACTCCATGCAACCGATGAGAAACAAGATATCGAACTCATCTGGTGTCAACAGTGTGTTTCTAAATTCCACGGTACCTCATCAATTTAATTTGTTATTCTCTCCATTTACTTTTCAAGCAGATTGAAGATGTAATATCTTGCATATGACATCCAACAAGTGAACTATGACTGGATTGTCTAATCGTACCTCTGTCCTGGTGCTCTAGAGACACTTCTAACCCAAAGAAAGAGAAAATTATGTGGACTTTTATCATCCCAGTGTCGTATTCTGTTCTAAACCTGACTGTTTTGGTTTAGGTGGCAGTTGGTAGTATTTAATTTGGGTTGAGTTATTTCAGCTTAATCATGTTCATCAGGATGTGAGTTCAGGTTGTTGGTTATTCAAATCAACAATGACTTCGAGGTGTGGGTTAAATCGGGTTTAGTTTTTGATGAGTTGTTCAAATCTAAGTTAGTTTTTGCTTCAAGGTACTGGCATCCAATCATGCAGTATGACAGGATTTAGCATTAACTCCAGAACAGGATTATGCAAAGGTGCCTTTTCTTTTGCTAATGCTAGGTAGGCCACTTTTGTTTCTTGGTTCTTAGTTCCCCTCTTAGATTATGGCGATGTTCCTCAAGTCCATTCCCACGAGCACTTCGCTAGTTTGCAGAGGGCACATAAAGGCTAGGCCAATAATCTTCTTCATTGTTTCCCCTTGTCTGCAGAATCTATATCCAACACTGTCTTCAATGGCAAATTATCTGGCCCGTTCCCCTTTGAGGCGCACTGTTTTTTGTTTTTACGAGTAATGATTGCTTTAGCTGTTTCCGCTAGTTTGATGTTTAGGTACTTGCTCTTACATCTCAAATACCAATATCGTAGGTGCTTCGGTGGAAACTGAGGTGCGAGGGAAAAGGCAACTGAAGCTCCTAAGTAGAGGAGAAACTACGAAATGAACTCTCCGAACCTCTTGATAAGATTTCTTCCAATTCCAGGAGTTGATTGGGCTGGAAATGTTGGAATCAGATGCCCAGAGAATGGCCTTGAAGCCGAGTTACGCTATGGACCCAAGTCTTTTCTAGGGCTTAGAGGAAGCCATAGATCAGTTAAAGGAAAGATCTACGAAACATCAACAAGGAGGACTCTTTTTGAAGTTAATGGCCATTGGGATAGGTATTTAACTTCTAAAAGTTCACCTATGGGGAGAATGCCTTTTTTTTTCTTCTAATTTTCCTCACCCAATTAAAGGAATAATCAATATATTATTAAAATCTAAGTCCATGTACGCACTAAATTTCTAACCCAAAATTTGGACTTAGAGGAAATAGCTTTTATGTACTCATTCAATGGTGAGCATTCCTTAAAGTCTGTTATGTATGTAGCTGTAGAATGTGGAGTGATATGTAACTATTTCTAATTTCCTGCAGAACTGTGACAATGAAGGACATCAACAGTGGAAAGCTTTCGATTATATACAATGCAAAAGATGTCTTTTCAGGACTGAAAACTCCAGTTGTTAATGATTTGCAGGTAATTCTTTACAACATTTGAACCCTTATTAACACCTCCATGTTGGCCAACTTGTTTACCTCTTTTCGACAAGAAACATATTTTCTTATGTATATACAAGGTTAATTGGTTGAGTTTTCGGATCTTGTAAGAATTGTTAGCGTTTTTTTTTTCTATGTAGCTTGACATGCATGCACGATTATATATGTTCATGTCATGTGTGCATCTTTTTCCTCTTCAGGGAGTGCGGTACGAGTGAATCAGTTGCAGTATGGAGCGAGTTAAGCCAGGCCATAATGAGCCAAGATTGGGAGAAAGCCAGAGAAGCCAAGAATGCTGTCGAGGAAAAACAAAGGGAGCTCTTGAGCGAACGAGAGTCAAAAGGAGCAACTTGGGTTCCTCAACATTTCAGTGTGACTTACAGCAAAGATGGTGGTTGGGATTGTTCACCTACTCAACAATGGGTTTCACCTGCTCCAATTGTTGTTCCTCTTTCATAATCCAATTATGATCAGCGGAAAACTCAGCAGCTTATTCTCAACCCCCTCTTTTGGGGCTTTTAGATTTATTATTAAAATTCATACTATTGTTGGAACTAAACTTGTAAACAAACTAAATGCTTACATATCATTTAATCTGATAAACTTCCAAGTCATATTTACTGAAACAAAATCATTACATAGTTGAGCAATTAGTGGGACAAAGAATTAGCCACAATTTTCCTGGTCCCCATCAATTCGTATTCCACAAGTTTGGTATTGTTTATCCAATATGGATGACGTACTGGTAATAGAATAAAAGGTTATTCATTTATTGGTTTTGCCATCAAAATAATAGAAGCCCTGTTCTGTGTATTTCACAAAACAATCTAAATCTATGTCTTTCTTTATTGTTTTTACGTGTTCATGGATATTAGAAAGAATCTAAGCACTGTCTCAACTGGTGTGAATCATAGGTACAACATATTTCATATCAGCAATAGTGTCTGCCATTTATCATATATTATGAGATGTGGTTTTCCTCATAAAAGAATGAATTTAACATTCCACATAAAAAAATCTATTTATACGTGACTTTGGTAGAAATCATAATGTTGTAGACATACAAAAAAAGAGTTGATGAACATTCAAACTTTCCTCAGGTATTCCTATCTCTCAAATGGAAGCTATTTCTTGGTAATGAATTGCATCTCCCTCAGATCAGATTCACTTCTCCGAGTGAAGGATGTTTCTTTGATGGTGTCTAGAACCGGCTTCCAGGACCGTGCCCTCGCCCTGCAAGAGTTTTGAAGGTCATGTGTCATCTCCCTTCCCTCCAGCCGCCTTGGAATCCTAACAGATGAGTTCCCTTCGGAGCCCAAGCCAGTTTGGCTCCACAAAAGACCAGTTTTGGGTGACACAGCGTCAGACCTGATAGATTTTGCTCTTGCTGTAAGTCTCCTTACCACAGAGGCCATGTCCAGAGGAGAAATATCATCCTGTAAGGTTGAGAGTGGTAGCACAAAGTAGATATGGCCTGGTTGGAGTTGGGCATCAAGATTCAGGGGATTGAAGCCTGTAGACATAAGCTGAGCTGCAGTGCAGAGAAACTGCTTTGGCGGTTTGCCTATGACCTCACTGACTGAAATGGGATGATCAAAGTCCTTAACATAACCATCAAGATGAACCAGGCGAATTGTGTTGAATGTAGACGGTGATCTACATCTACTAGAAAAACAACACCCCATTTGTATTTTTCTCTCTTTATGTGTCGGTGTTAAATACAATACAATTTATATATGTTGATAGATTTAGACATGTCTTCAGCTAATAGCCCATTGCTGCAGGCCAACAACTCAGTCAAAGTTCTTTGAAAAATCCATTATGGCACTTATGCTGTGGACCATTTGCACTTGAATTTGATATTGCATCCAGTTTATGTGCTTAGTCAATATTAAGAATAATGGCTTTTTGTAACTTTGATCTACAAACATACAATACATACATTTTCAAAGTTAATCAATAAAAAATAATTATATATTAGCATAATACCTAAAAGGTTCTTGAATTATTCCGAAAAATTCATATAAAGTCTTATTTTTTTTATCATGTTCAATCAAGTGTTATATTTTTATTTTGGATCAAATAAACTTTTATCACCAACCAGCGATTAATTTTTCTTAGTCAAAGTGTCACATGTCATTTTATATTACATGGTGTTATCGTAGCATATTGACATATCAGAATGAATGGTGACATGATATCTTTATATTGCATAATGAATAACTATATAGTATTTTTCACCTTTCAAGCAGTGACAGATCTACAATTTTGTATAAGGAGTAACTAAAGAGTAATCATATAAAGTCATAGATCGGGTCAATGATTTAATTCAGAGTAAAAAATTAATCACATTTAAAATAAAATAATATTATAATATAAAATTTCATTAACAATTTAAATATAAATTTTAAAATTCACCAATATAAACAAACATAAAGTAGAAGGAAAAATTAACATTAAATTTTCACATTATGTAAATTTATAACATAAAATTTCATTAACAATTTAATTATAAGTTTTCATATTCACCCATATAATAAAATAGAAAAAAAAAATTTAATATTCGATTTTTCCATTTGTTGTGTGTAACTATTTAGCCAAACTCTGTTTGCCCATTTGAATTTAAGCACTAGAAGATAACATAACGGCTAGAATGGCATCATAGTTGTTTCAACGACTAGAAACTATCCTTAATAGAAAAATCTGACTCTCCAAGTATAAAAGGAAGCTCTAACAGTCAAAGAACAGGAATTGAATGAGAAAAGAGTCATTTTAAGCAAAAAGTCAAACATCTTTCATAAAAAATACTTATTTTTCATTCTTAATCTATGAAAAGTGCTTGAGCTTGCTTATAATCTTTTTAGATTTGTAAAGACTTTTAGTTGTACCTCTTTTTCTTCTATTTCTTAAGAAATTAGAATATGGAAAGCACTTTAAAACTTGTTGTAAGGGATTAAAGGTTGGGTTAGAAGCCCACTTTGTAAAAACTTGATAGAAGCTATTAGTTTCACTGGTGTAGTAAAGTTGGGTTAAAAATCCTTGATTGGGAGATCAAGATAATAAATGTAGGTGAAAGAGACCGAACCATTATAAACACCTTTGCATTGTCTACTTCTCTCTATCATTTCTTTACTTGGTGTGTCTTAACTACTACGAGTTTTACATCTTTCTCTCTCTAATTTGTTAAAAGTTCTACAACTCAAAAATAGTTGAACTTAAAATTTTTAATACTGTTCACCCCCTTTTAGCACTCCAATAGAACTAACAAGTGGTATCAGAGCTAAACCTTCATTTTACAGCCTAACATCCTTAGGAGAGATCTATATCACTTTGCAAAAGTTTGTAGTTGCTGAAAGTCAATCTATAAATAGGCCTCTTTTATTTGATGGATCAAAGTATGCTTATTGAAACACTAGGATATTTATATATATTAGAGCTCTTGATTATAAAATGATGGATGTAATCACAAAAGGACCTACGTTCCCATCTTATCTAGTTTTATCACAAGTAAGAGAATGCTTAAGCCAAGTGTTAAGTGGATTGAAGTTGAAGTTAAAAAGGTCCAAACAAATATTAAGAGTCTGTTTGGCCTAACTTTTTTCTAGTTTAAAAGCTGTTATGAAGTTCTTATGAAAAATAATAGTTTTTAAAATTAAGTTGAAATTGTTTGGTAAATTTTTTTTATAAATTCTTTTTTATAAGTTACAATTTTAGTTAAAATTATCATAAAGGATATTTTGTTTGAGAGAGTCATATTATAATTATTTTTAACAGATGAGGATATTTTTAAAATAGAAATAAAATTTTTTTCGTATTTTTGAAAAAGAGAAGAAAAAGGTCATCATAGTAGCTTTTCTTGAAGCTCTTTTTTTTGTTAAAAAAAATTATTCATTAAAAAAGAGTTACTTTTTTTTAAAGAGCTTTTTAAAATTTATGTTTGGCTTGGCTTTTGTTTTTAAAAAATAGATAAGCTGAAAAAAAGCCAGGCCAAATAAAGTATAAAGCAATCAACATGCTTCACTGTGCATTGACCCTTATAAAATTCAACAAAATCTCTAATTGTACAATATTCAAAGAATTTTGGGATAAACTCAAAGTGATTCTTGAAGAGACTTCACAAGTAAAGGAGTCCAAAATTGCCTTACTCACCTATAATTATGAAATCTTTAAAATAGAATTGGGTGAAAATATCTCTACCATGTTCGATAGATTTACCAATATTATAAATAAGCTTAATCGACTAGAAAAAACCATCCCTAAACATGAGTTACTAAAATGACTACTTAGATGCCTCTTAAAAAGCTAAAAACCCAAGGTCACTATCATTCGAGTGGCTAAGGATCTCAATGTGGTCACATTTGATGAAATTTATGGCTCATTCCTCACACATGAACTTAAAATGAAAGAAAAAAAAAAGGAAGAAAAACTTGAAGAATTATCAAGTAAGGACGATGAAGAATTAGCAATGAAAGCTAGAAGGTTTAGAAAGCTGATGGGACAAAAAGACAAAAGGTTAAGAAAGAAAAATTACAAGAAGGATTGAGGTTTTTCCGAAAAAATTAAACACAAGGGTAATCTTAACAAGAAGGATGAGATGATTTGCTTTGAATGTTAGAAACCAAGACATTTCAAATCTAAATGTCCAATGTTGAAGGAAGAATCTTCAAAAAAGATGAAGAAACCAAAAAAAGCAATGGCGGAAGTAACATAGTCTGATATTGACTCTTCAAGCTTAGAAGAAGAAAGAGAGAAATTAACATAGTCTGATATTGACTCTTCAAGCTTAGAAGAACAAAGAGAGAAATTAGAAGAAAGCGTAAATTTTTGCTTGATGGCAAAAGAAAAAGAATTTCAAGTAACATCTAACTCATGTGATATTTGTTATAACGATTTAAAAGATGGATATGATATATGCTAAATTTGAGAAAATTGTTTTAAAATATAAAACTATGAAAAGTAGGTCATATCCTTGGATAATGAACTAGAAAAAATTAAGTATGAGTATAACTCTATTTTTGATCAAAGAAATATGCTTCAAATTGAACTCGAATAGTCTAAAACTGATTTTGAACTCTTGAAGCTAGAATTATAAAGCAAAAATCTTGAATTGCAAAGAGTAATAAGTGAAAATGCTGGACTTAAAGTTTTTATGGAGGAGAAATTAAAAGTTGAAGAGAAGCCTAAAAGGAATATAAACTTTAGAAGGAAAATTAATGCATTCTTGTGTCATTGCTATATATATGGTAAGATAGGTCACATATCTTATGATTGTTATCACAATAATAGGAATTTTTCTAAGACTAATTTGGTCTTGGTTCCTAAAGGATCCCATGTGATTGCTAACCCCCAAGGACCCATCAAAGTATGGGTACCTTTAAAGAAAAATGAAAAATCTATTTGGTAGGTTGAGTAAAGACAAAAGGATCAATGTTTTGAAGCTCAACCCAAAGAAAGGCAATCTTGGTACTTGGATAGTGGCTGCTTAAGACACATGACCGACAATAAGAACTTATTTGCTAAGCTTGATAGAAGCAAAAGTGGTAGTGTTTCTTTTGGTGATAACTCTAAGGGCATTTTCCTAGGAATTGAAATCATGGGTAATACATCTTAAACTTAAATCAAACATATTTTATATGTCAAAGGTCTAAAACATAATTTGCTAAGCATTAGTAAACTTTGTGATAAAGGCTTTAGAGTATGTTTTGATTCTCATAGATGTCAAGTGATTGATGTTAACACTAACAAAGTAGCATTCATTGGTAAAAGAATCAAGTATATGTATGTTATCTTCCTTGATAAGATTAAGTCTAATGAATCTTGTTTCATTGCCAATGATGTATTTGATAATTGGTTGTGGCATGGAAGCGTAGGACATGCTAGTATGCACACTATTTCAAAGTTTTTAAAAAAAGACTTAGTGATTACTTTATTTTATAGAGTTATTTTACATTCTATTCATCCTAAAAATGACTAATGTCCTTTTATTTTTAATTAATTTAGACTTTAAATTTATAT